AGTGTTGTCGAATGATGTTGTTACTACCCAGGTATGTGTTATGCATCTTGTATAATTGTAATTGCCTTAAGTTTTCTATAATGTGTGCTAAATTGTGGTTGTTAAACAATGACAGATGTCCACTGGTCCGGTTCAGAATATCGCAGGACAAATTAATTTCTATACTGGACAGGAGTTTGTAAATGATGAACATGTCTCGTTGGGAGATGTTTGATATTTTTGCCAGGCTGAATCATATAGAATTATATTTGGTAGAAATTTTTCATGCTTTGGTTAATTTCTACCGAATGCAGTTGATGTATCTTACGCATTGTTTATTTTTAGTATTTTCGTCATTGGTTGTGCAGGGTAGTGAATTCATGATAATGACGTTAATATAACTTATTATGAATGTTTTCAGTATATATTATCGTCACATTGCAGACTCCGGTTGTACATGGCATTTTGGATATGCATTTCATTGAGATTTGAATTTTATGTCTTCGGTATGTCTAGTATTACATATCACATACATTGAAAAGAGTTGTTGACATATGTATAAACAAAGACAAATCTATTTATAAACAAAAGACAAATTATTTATAAACAAAATACAATCTTTATTAACAACATCCGCTCAAATCAATCTATTTAAACAAAGGGAAAAATTCTTCATCATGGTGCAGGGGGTGGAGGTTGACTAGAGGATGGAGGCTGTTGAAAGTTCTTCTCATGCTGAAATCTCTGTCATGCGTTCCCCAATGATGTCAACTGTTTCTTCTAATTTGATGCAAACGTGTTGAAATCACTTGCAATTGATCATGTTGTCTTGCATTGCCTCTCAATACATGAAACCGCTCCTCTTGAAACTTTTCCATCCGCTCAAATTTGCTTTCTGTTCCTGTAAAGTATGAGAAGGCATATCTCTACATTCTCAGATGGTCCGGTTCAGTACTCGTTCTTCTTTTTTGCACACATAGACTTGTCCTTCATTAACCCTTTGGAATACTACACTTCCTGAACCTTACCTCTCCTCCATTCATCCTAATAGAAACCATTGTCCTGCCTATTCTTTTTAATCAACCCATTTTTCAATGTCACATCCCTTCACACATTATTTGTAGAAAACGTAATCTTATTTGTTGCATCATTAGGGGTGATCTCAATATTCAACTTCTCACATATTAACGTAACAAGCATCCCCTAATATATTTCTCCTTTTCTGCGTGATCTCTCTCTTAATCAATAACTTCGCTGAATTAACTTGCCTCCCTGCTACTGCTGCTTCCATGAAAATTAAATCCTTAACCGTCACATTTCCATTTGTCTCTTCTACCATTAAATGTGAAAGTCGTATCTGTGAAATACTCTATAGTAAGATTCTGTAACTTTGTAGATTTACACTATGTGGATGGTAAGTCCCTATCCCGGAAACATCAATCAAATCCTATCCAGGATTTCTAGATACGTTTCCAAACCTTCACAATCAAATCCTATCCAGGTTGCTAAATCTTGTGGTGTCACTACAAAGTTCTGATTCTTTAATCTAAAGAACATTGTATACGCCTGAAGCAGATCACTATCTGTCTTTGCAACTTCCAAACTACCAAAAAAAACTCATATATCGAATGCCTATCTCTCATATCTCATACTGACCAACGGTCCATTTCAAATTATTAATCCAACCATTGATTTCATCACCTAAACCTAAACTTGTTAGAAGTCCTAAATCCAAACTCTTTCCAAGGCAAATATCTCTTTTCGACACATCCTCGTATGTTTTTTATGTCATAAGTCTCGAAATTGAATTGCCGATGAGGATGTGCCTTCTTGAGAAATGGTTGTATTTTTGCCCTCACCATTTTTGCTTTCTTCTAAAACTTGTATACATAAAAAAAATCGTCATTATAATCTGCCAAAGACACAGAGCTAATTACTCTTAAACATACACTTTGAGCTCATCATCATTTCTGCATGGTACTGTAAAATCTGGTAATGTTAACAAATGTCCAAAATTAAACCAGAAACTAATGAGCTCTCATCAAGCAAAAAAGAATACCCAACTAATTTCTCAAACAATAGAGAATGGTTCATTCTTCAGACACTTGTTTCGCATTCAGACTACATTGTTGTCATTTTGTAACAAACAGGTACACTTAATTAGAAAATGTAATTTCTCTTTCAATCTCAGCAAAATTTGGCACATCATAATTACATTCTCATTCCCTCAAAAAGAAAGGTGAGCTCTTAAAAAGTACATTAGCTTCAACCTACCACCCTTTCTGATGCATTTTGATCTTGATACTTCAATATGCACTAATATTTTGTAGGGGATGACATTATAATGCTAATCCTAAGGTTATTGGTTTCCTAACCATGTCAGAATATACTTTAAGCATCTTTTAAGTTGTTTGGAGGGTTGAAAGACATGAACTCTTCTTTCACTAATATGATTTGTTGCATGTAGAGTTTTGTGATTATGTGATAGGAAATACCAAGTTATTTGATCAAGTTTTTTTTCTATTTAATAAGTTCGATTTGAATCTCATCATGAACAGATCAATGAGAACAAACACCACAATGTGACACTTGATGCAAAGAATACTAAAACTGCCAGCCTTTCCCATGAAAATGCAACTTCCTAAATCAGCAATATCACTAGTTCCTCAATGGCCATACACATCACACATGCAGAACAATCTTCCATGAATTCAAGACCGTATGTTCCCACTTGCAACAACGGGAGAGGGTGATTGGGGAAACATACGGTCTTGAATTCATGGAAGAAACATCATGAAGACCATAAAAAACAACCCAAATATTTTGTCTCCATGATGAAAAACCAAGCAAATATTTGTACTTTATTTTTTTAATTTAACAGAAACGGTTTCAAGATTCATGCAGTGTAAATGCAGAGAATCAAATTTAGGCCTAACACATTCATCCAATGGCGTGCATTGTAAATACAGAGAATCAAATTCAGGCCTAAGACATTCATCAAAATAACTACATTCTCTTTATCAATGGCAGAACACTTCTATTTATCAATCACACAAACCAGTCCCACCAAATTGACTGGATTTCTCTTCATCAACTCAACCCATTCACACATTCATCCAACAAAAAAAAAAAAAAAAAAAAAAAAAAAAAAATTGAAAAAGAAATTGTCTAATTACCGATGGCAGATGACGAAGACGAAAAACAAGCGCAGAATAGGAATCTAGAAGAACAAGAGCGCGAAGATGAAGAACACCCTATAACGTAGATGGAAGACGAAGAAGATGGTAATGGCTGTGAGTTTTAGTTTTAGAAACTTCCCCAAAATATTTAACCTAATGCGTGAGTTTTTTTTTTTAACTTTTATTTACATTAAAGGACAGGCGTCCATTACTATTCTTTATGGATAGGCGTCCATAATGGTTGGACGGCCGTCCATAAAGAATGGAAGGGCGTCCATTACTTATGGACGCCCGTCCACAATGAAGGGACGACCATCCACCATTTATGGACGGCCGTCTAGTGTTTTAATTTTATTTTTTAAAATAATTACTTTTGGACGGGAAGCCATTACTTACGGACGCCTGTCCACACATAAAGGACGACCGTCCATAGTTTTATTTAAATTTGAAACAACAAAAGAATGGACGGGCGTCCATTCCTTACGGACGCCTGTCCACAGTGAAAGGACGGCTATCCACAATGTTTGGACGGTCGTCTAAAGATTTTCATTTTTTATTTGTAAAAGAAAAATAATGGACGGGCGTACATTTCTTACGGACGCCCGTCCAAACGTAAGGGACTGCCGTCTAGAATTGGTGGATGGGCATCCCCAAAGTTTTTTTATTTTTATTTTCATATTTGGGTAAAGGAAGGGCATCCATTATTTGTGGGTGCCCGTCCAAAAGTGATGGACGGCCGTCCCTAATGTTTAACAATTTTTTTTATTGTATTTTATTTATGGACGGGCGTCCTTTAAATGGGGATGCTTGTCCATCGTATATGGACCCCTGTCCATATAATATGGACGAGAGTCCATGTGAGTGAACGACCATCCATATTTGATCGACGGCCGTTCACTAGAAAAAAATTGATAGAAAAATCAGGCTTTTGGGTATACGTAGGCTGGTACACATTTTTGGTACAAAATATTCAGTGTCTGTAGCTTTGTTGAAAAAAAATTATATGTGAATTCTTCTTTCTCATTTGCGGTTGTCTGTACCAAAGTAAACTTTTCTTTACAAAATTTGATTTTGAATGCATTTGATCAGAAATGGACACTGTTTAACATTCAGAACTTTATCGTAGGGTTTCTTAAATGTGTGGATTAGAGGCACAGAAAACTCATGGTAACACAAAAGTTTAGACGTCAATTCAAGAGTTAATAAAATGTTTATATATATATAAACATTTTATTAACTCTTGAATTGACGTCTAAACTTTTGTGTTACCATGAGTTTTCTGTGCCTCTAATCCACACATTTAAGAAACCCTACGATAAAGTTCTGAATGTTAAACAGTGTCCATTTCTGATCAAATGCATTCAAAATCAAATTTTGTAAAGAAAAGTTTACTTTGGTACAGACAACCGCAAATGAGAAAGAAGAATTCACATATATATATATATATCTCGACTATTATTCATTTTGTGTGTTAAATTTATTTTATACCATATATTTTATGTATGGAGTTTGCATGCCAACTAGGGTTAATTTCATTGTCCCCTGAGAGATTGTTAAGTGCTCTTTTATACAGGGTTTTAATAATTTAATGAAAGAGGTTTTTGATAATTTGAAATAATTATTTAATAGTTTTGGAGAATCACTGGACATTTGAGACCTAACAATTTCTCAACTCTCAAGTACTGATGAGATTAATTTACCCTACCAATTATAAAATAAAATAGAAGAAAAACCGAAGGCAAATTTTACTCCTTATAACAACGCAAGGATAAGCATCACAAACAACTCATTAATTATTTGATACATTATGGAAATTTTAGTACAATAATATACAGAGGCTGTACAAGCATTAATTAGACGATGGATAATTTCATGTTTTCAACCACTACGTTAATGCTCGGCCTTTCGACAAGTGTCAATCCAACAGCTATCATCGACTATTAATATTACTAAACTATTAACATATACAGCCATTCCCATAATGGAAACTTTTGTCAACACTGTAAGAATATTAATAATATAAACTTAGTAATGATAAAGACGAATTGGAAGTCCTTGTTCCGGAGTTGGCATTGTTTCGCTTATAATTCTTTCTTTCGGAAGGACCATCTCCCATTTAAATCTCTTCATCACATTGTGAACAAAAGTGAGTGTTACTAATTGAGCATACTCCTTTCCTGGGCACATCCGAGGCCCCCCACCAAATGGAACAAATGTGAAAAGAGGTAAATTATTTGTTTCATCATGTCTTGATGGGTCAAATATTTCTGGATTTGGGAAGTATTTAGGGTTCTTGTTTGTTGAATTTACATTCCAATATACCTGTCAAAAAAAAAAAATTCAATCATTATGAAGCAATTAAGTGAGAAAAAATTAATTGAGCTAGGTCAGGTCTTTGCATGGTGAATAGGATTTAAAATTATATAATAAATTCAATCATATATTATAAAAATTAAAACATTTTTGAATTGATTTAAACAATCTTAAGCATTAGATTATCATAAAAAGAAAAATCTTGAACCCTTTAATAAAAAGAAGATTGTCAATGTGGCCATACAAAGTTTGAGAGAAAGTAAAAAAAAAAAAAAAAAAAAAAAAAAAAAAAAAAAAAAAATCATCACTTTCATGAAAGCAAGCTTCGGTTTTTTAAGTTTTTGGCATTGATTTGTTTAATAATTAAAAAAAATGTAATTTTCATAATAATTTTTCTAAGTTATAATAAAAACATAACTTTATATAATCACTGATTACATTATAATTCATTGGGAAGAAACGCTTTGAAGGGAAAATTAATAAAATCTTTGCCTAAGACACACGTTAAATTGCATGATTAATTTTTATTTTCTTTTAAATAATTAATTTATACATCAATGTTCTTAATTAATGTGTATGTTAGTACAAATCATTAATTGAAACTGATTCTAGATAAAAAGTACCTTTATTCTGAAGTTATCATTATATGTGTTGTCCTTTGGTAGATACTAGATAACAATATTAAAATTTGACTAAAAATTTAAATGTCAGGCGTGTTAGCATCATATATGTTGTCCTTTGGTAGATAACAAAATTAAATTTTGAATAAAAATTTAAATGTTGAACATGTTTTCAATTTTTATATGTTAAATATATTGTTTTCATCCATATGTGTCGAACACATTTTTATTTTTTTTAAGTATATATTCATCATATGTATCAATAATTTTCAATATTTTCGAAAAACCCAAATTAAATTTATAAAACACATCCACAGTTCTAATTTTTTTAAAATCCAAAAAATGAAATCATAATCAAAATCCGAAGTTTATAAACTCAATTACCTTCCATCCTTTGGGAACTGTGTAACCAGCATATGTAAAATCTGTAGAAGCCTCTCTAATTATCGTCCCTTGTATTGCTGGTGTAACTCTCATCACTTCACGTAAAACTTTCCAAGAATATTTCATCTTTTGTATATCATCCAGATTCAAGAGCTCCCCAAGCTTCTTCGAGGCCGCGACTTCTTGTTGCTCTAGTTTAAAATTAAGAAGATCAAGTCCACCATAACATGATATTGCCAATATTAAATGGTCCTTAAAAATATACCATGCCGTTGAGTCATTAGATCATTCTTGATAATCTCAACAACACTGATCCAGTAATTCTAAAAGATGATGTATGAATAAAAATTTATAATACTTTTAATTCGTATATGTCTCTGTTTAATTGGATGGTCTTACCTTATCGATTAAACGAGATGATAAAATTGTCAGGGTATAAGTATTTCTCCTATGCATGATATTACATGGTTAATAAAGCAACATAACACAACTCAAATGATTTATAGAAAGTAATAAAGAAAGAAGTAAAATTGTGTTATGGTTAGGGTAAGTACCAGCAAGGACTTTATTGTATATGTCAGGTCTCTCTCCAACGTGTTTCATGAACAAAGTCATGACAGAAGCGACAGTGCCATATCCTACAACAAGCAAGCCCATGAGTTTGTCCGCAATCTCAACCTCTGGAATTCGTTCCCCAGATCCATCTGTAGCTAAAATCATATGTGACAAAATATCCACCGTCGGTTCTCCTCTAGCCATTGCCGTTTTCTTCTCAGAAATTATGCCTCTCAACTCTTTGTGCACTGCAGCTGCGGCTTTGCATGCTTTACGAAAATTCGTTCCTGGAAAATTTAAAGGAGCAGAAAACATCCCTACTTTTACATCATCAAGTCTGGTAATAGTTCTGGCAACGAGCTCAGGATCTTCGGTACACATGAATAAACAACAAGCGATACTTAAGGTTAGAGATTTTGCTAGAGGGAATGCCTTCACTTCATCTTTCCCTTCCCAAAGGGTTTGCATTTGTTGTTGAGTTATGGAATCCATTTTGCCCAAGAACTTCACCAGGGCTTCACGTTTCAGGAACCCTGTTGTTGTTCTTACTTCTTCTTTAAAGTTAGAGCTGCCTGTTGGAGCTTTAGAGAGGAACAGCTTTTGCATGGAATAGGGAAGGATTGGAGTGAAGAGTTTACGTTCATTACTGAAGATAAATTTGTGGCCGTTTGGACCGCAAATGACTGCAACTTCTTCTCCGAGAATCTTGGTTTTGAAAATATCTGGAGAGTATTTCTTCATCCTGTCGAGGACAAACTTCTCTTGCTTCCGGAATTGAATTGTTTCTCCCACGAAAGGCCATCCGAAGCTCCCTGGCGGCAGGTTTTTGTGTTTGTTGCTTTTGAGTGAACAAATACCTGAAACAAGAATGAGAAGAAGGGGAGCGAGATAAAAAAGGAAGATATACGAAAGCTCCTTATTGAATGGTGTTGAAATGAGATCCATAGGGAAAGATAGAAGTTGAATGTAGAATGTGCCTTACTTGAATAGCCAGATATCAATTTATAGACATCCAATGCACTTAATACATCTCTCATTAATTGTATATATATTAAATATCATGTGGGCCAAATTACGTCATCTCATTAATGGTGTATATATATATACCGGAGCACGGATTTACGTGACGTGTCATTCCGTTTTAGGTTTACTATATTTACAAGTTTGCCATTGTAACAAAATATAAGCTAATTTTTCACCCAAATTAGGGTTGTGATTCATACTTTATGCAAGCAATGCTTGTACGTAAAAAAGAAGAATCACACACAAAAAGCAATACAAAAATAGTGGACGTAGATTTAAGCCTAGCATCCGAGCCACTAATTTTTTCTTTTTTTTGTGCTCTTTATTCGTTCATTGGTTGATCCCGCATCAAACAATAGGTTTCATATAATCTCTTGTGTAGATTTTATCATGAGATCTACGTACTTTTCGTTGATGCAAATCACAACATCAACATTTTAGCGATAGAAGGAGAGCTTTCTTTATCTTCCAGCAGATCTCATTCTGTTCTCCAAGCTCGTACAAGATCAATCATGGTTTGTGCCACCAGGGCTAGTTCAAAGAACAAGGTTGTTGCTAGCCAAACTGGGGAGGCTTCCCCGAGTCACTTGAGGGCAATCTTTTAGGAACACTATCCACCTGGATCAAAGAGTAGATCATCCATTCCATAGGCCAATCCACAGATAATGAATGTCCTTGGAATGCTTACTGCCACACTCCAAATGCTAGTGTAGCGCTTGGACAACATCCCAGTGACGACACCAAGGGCTCAACCCCTAGCCAACAGAATGTTGTCCAGATGGCAGCACCGAGGACTTAGAAATCCCAATCACCGTGTACTATAACGCCCCCACGTAGTTTAAACTAGACGAGCGATCGTCTTCGCTAGCAAAGACAAGAGCATGATACTTGCGGGCACGAGACTTCAAGCTCTTCAAACCTTTCGTTGGCATGCTTAGCCTTGAGATGTGACCAGGGAAGTGTCCTAAGGAGAAGACAAAATGATAAACTTCACAGAGGAAGATGCAAGATGGGTGCATCATCCCCACAACGATGCACTCGTCATTATCTCTCGAGTGAGCAACAATGGGGTCCACAAGATACTAGTGGACAATGCCAGTGCAGTCAACATTCTTCCAATCTGCATTAAAAAAGATGGGGTTAAAGGATGCAGGTCATAAACAAACTGCTGCGCCATTGTACGGATTCACAGGGGATCATGTCGTTCCCCGATTTATGATCACCTTGTCAGTTATGATCGGCAAAAGAAACAAGGCAACAAAAATGATAGATTTCTTAGTTGTGGACTGCCCGTCTGCCTTCAACGTTGTGACCAAGAGGTCTCTCCTCCAATGTCTGAAGGCGGTCACATCGATCTATCACCAAATGATGAAATTTCCCACCTTTAATGGAGTTGGGGTCGTCAAGGGGTTGTAGTTCAAGTCTTGAGAATGTTACAACAAGGTAATCTGAATTGCCTCGAAGGGCATGCAACCTGAGCAAATGATGGCTATTGAAAAAGGAAAGCAACATCTTGGTCATGTCGAGGATGCCATTGATCCTTAAACACGCATGAAAGAGTTTGTTAGCGGACCAATGGAGAAATTGGTTGAAGTCACAATTGATGAACGCGAGCCTACTCATATGCTAAAGATAGGAAGTAACCTCATTGCCAATTAGCTGAACAATTGATTGGTTTCTTGAAGTAGAACTTAGATGTCTTTGCATGGACCTACGTGGATATGGTTGGCATCAGTCTTGAGGAAATTTACCAAAAGCCAAACATTGACTTGAAGCATGCTATGTTTGCCAAAAGCGACAATGGATGCAAAGCATTATGAGGCACTCAAGAGTGAGGTGGATAAGCTATTGTCAATCGACTTTATCCGAGAAGCCCAGTTTCCGCAATGGGTCACCAACCTTGTCTTAGTAAAGAAGTTGAATGGAAAATGGCAGACATACTTCGACTTCACAAACTTGAATAAGGCTTATCCAAAGGATGGATTCCCATTGCTAAGGATTGACCAACAAGTAGATGCGACCTTTGGGCATGAGCTACGAAGCTTTATGGATGCATACTCGGGTAACAATTAGATCCCAATGTTTAGGCTAGACGAGGAGCACACATCCTTCATCACAGATCATGGAATGTAGTGTTAACGCCTTTTGATCTCAAAAAAGTTGGAGCTACTTACCAGTGGCTAGTCAATCGGATGTTCATTGAGTAGATCGGGAAAATGATGGAGGTGTATGTCAACGACATGCTGGTGAAGTCCAACATTATCATGGAAGATGTCATACACCTTGAGGACAGATTCGATATCTCCAGAAATATAAGATGAAGCTGAATCCACTGACGTGTGCTTTCGGAGTCAGTTCAGGAGCACGCTGCATAACTCGAACTCTTTAGTTTGGTAGCACACTGCATAACTCAAATTCTTTAGTTTGGGAGTGCATCGTATAACTTGAACTCTTCAGTTTGGGAGTGCATTGCATAACTCAAACTTTTTAGTTCGAGACAACACCTAATAACTCGAACTCTTCAGTTTGAGAAAGAGACTAACAACTCAAGCTCCTTAGCTCGAGACAACATGGGCTCCTTGTTGGGTTCTAATCGAATTATATGTATTGAAAAATAATTTTTTTTTTTAATTAAAACCCTGAATGCCCATTAATCCTTATATTGATTTGCATTATTTACATGTTAAATTGCACAAAATAAATTCAAATATTATCTTATACCTGCATTGATGGCTCATTCTCTTTACAAAATTCAAGTCGCTATCACTCTAAGGTTAGGAATGCATGAACAGTGATCTACATGAAGACAGGAGGAAGTCCAATTGATTTATCTGCTACAATAATATCAATTGGTTTAGGAATTAAAAAGTGTATAATTTTTCAATCGAAAAATCCCTTCAATTTTTGTTTAACATGTTGGGGTGAGAGAGAGAGAGAGGGCGGCTAGGTTTTTTTTTTTTTTTTTCTTGTTATATTTCTCTTGTATTTTTATTTTAAAGTTGCACTTATATAGTGCTAAAAAAATAAAAACCCCATTCCTAATTGAAATTGCAGTAACCCTTTTCCTTTATTGGAATATCCTATTCCTAATTGGAATAACATTAACCCTTTTTCCTTCATTGGAATATACTTATTCCAATATCCACTCATTGCTTATTGATAAGAGCTTGAAAATACACATTTAGTTAGTGGTTTTTGGGGGATTAATTGTGGGAAATTAGACTTAATTTGGTAAAGTTGCTTAATATTTTCAATTGCCTTTTACGGGATCACGGGTGTTTTGAGTTTTTCAGGTCACAGTACTTAAATGGTATGCTCGGATGAAGAATCATGTTTGTAACGGAATGAGTGATGAGTGGAAACAAACGATCAAGAATCGGAGTTGAATTGAAGAAGTTATGGAAGTTGAAGTAAAAGAAGATTCTAGATTACGTTCCAGCTTGCACATGCCTTGGAATTTTAATAATATCTTGAGCTGTAGAACGATTGAGACGATTCTTGGACCATTGGAATATGTTCAAAGGGCTACATTCATATGTTACAAACTTTTCCAAATTCCATCGTTATCGAGTTTAAAAATAACATATTTGAAGAACATGGAATGATGCGGGAAAAGGCAGCAGCTACTATGCCGAACACACTTTTTCCAGAGCTACTGTGCCACAGCACATGCCATGACATAGTCATGTAAGTCACTAGTTTGTTGTCCGTTTTTGCCAGGGAATAGGGTTAAGGTTCCAAATCAATAGAATAAGGAAAACAAACCTAACCTTGGGATAGTCAGTAAGTCAGGCACAGTCATGTAAGTCACTAGTTGGTTGTCCTTTTTAGACAGGAGAATAGGTTAAGGGTTCCAAATCAAATAGAATTAAGGAAAAACAAACCCTAACCCTTGTGGGATATAAATAGAAGTTTTTAGCATTATTTTGGGGATTTCTTGGGTGAGAAGAAAGGGAGAAAAATCTGCAGAGAAGAGAAGTAACAGAAGTTTTGGAGCTTTGATTCACAATAGAGAAGTTTCCTTGTCTTTTCTTGTAAACTCATGATAAATTTTAAAAATATGATTGTTTCTTTCATGTTTATTATGAACTAATTCTCTTTCTAGGGCTAAGATGTAGCCCATTTAGAATATGTATTGACTTAAATTGTTGTTAATTCCTATGAGCTTTAATCTAAATTTTATTATTGTGCATAATGCTTTCAATTCTTAAGGGCCTGAGAGTTGATTGATATAGGGTTGGGTAAGATTGAGAGATGAAACCTAGTTTGACTAAGGTAATAAAACCAGATTGAGCGAACCTAGAGATAGGGTACGCCGGTCTGTGAAGTTCTGGTAAATTCCATAGACTTAATGATCTCTTAGCTTCTAATCCGACTTAGAGATATCTTGGGTTGTTGCTTAAGGGTTAATTTGCTAATTGTTCGAGAGAAAGTTAGTGGAATTTTAGGGAATTTGGCTTTTAGAATATGCTTAATTAGGTTAGCAATAATTGTCAATGCATAGGATTAAATTGGTGTGAAATCTGTGCCCTAGGTTTAGTTATATTGATCTTGACTTCAAAGTGTTTACAAATTCTGCATTTGTTTAGTTTCTAGTTTATTACTTTTTCATTAAAGTCATTCTTAAAATTATGTTTTATCAAATAGCAATAGAATAGACTAGTTTGGTACTTGGTAGGTAGTTCCCTTGGGATTCGACACTCGTTTACTCAAGCTTTATTACTTGCACGATTTCGTATACTTGCGAAAAGCCTGTCACTTATTTGGTATTTTATTTTAATTGTTATTATTATTTTCCATAATTATATTAATATACATAAAATACATTAATATTTAATAATAATAATACAAATCTAGCAATTATTAATATTTAATAATGATCCAGCAATTCGAGTGAATTCGAGATGAGCAATATAGGAGAACGACCATTGAGCAA